TTTCAAATCAGATTAAACAAAAAATAAGAAGAAAAACTGTAAGGGATTATGTTATGTACAGTTAAAAAAAATAATATATCCCAAATTAACATTGGGATTCCCAAATCTCAACAATTGAAAACGTAAATTTATGAAACAACGAGTATATTCTAATATATTATTGGATTCGAATATCCTATCAATTTTATAATTATTAAACATCCCAAAATGGTTAGTTTTAACATATCCGATTTTTAAAAATAAGGACATAAATTCTTTAGGAACCTCAAATTCCTAACATTCATTTTTACTATTAAAAAGTCATATATTTAAGTGATAAGGATGTATATTATTGGAATAATTTTTATAACTACCAAAATATGAAAAAAATTCAAGTCTTGATATACTTTTGAGATATAATATGATTTTCACCAAAATCGGCGAAAAAAATAAAATCAAGTAATAGTTGACAATGTAATTTTGCTATCGCAAAGTTCAAACTCATTATTCATAGGAAGACGAAAGTGTTGGAGTATCCTACCGATTTCCCAACATTTTATTTTGACTTGCGTAATTTTGCTACCCTACAAGATGTTGACAATGTAACTTTTCAAAAGCAAATAGTTGTATTTTTAATTTTATTTTCAAATATGTAGACATACTTGTGGTTGTGTTTTATATTTTAATTATCTACGTGTTATGTTGTTAACAAATATTTCACATCTAATATTATAAATATCACTGAATATTAGTTCCCCGTACAACACGGGTTTTGCGCTAGTAACCTAAATAAAGTGCAAGAAAATATTTTATCATGTGTGTTAGGAAAGTTGCTATATATATATATATATATATATATAATATTATATATATATTTTCTCTAAATGGAAAATATGCACATGCTAATTATGTTCGATTCATCAACCTTAGATAAGCTACCGGTTATGCTCGATTATTAAGTAATACAACTTTATTATTAATCAATTTATTTAATTATTATCAGGTGGAGTGGGCTCAACAGATTCTTGCTCACGAAAAGAATTCCATTTTATTGTGGGGTTGATCCAACGTCCACTGCTGGTTTCGTTAAATCATATAACAATTTGAAGTTCTATTGGATTCTAGGAGCGGGTCATCTGGTAAGTTCACCTACATATATCTCTTCAGAATACTCTTTTTTTTTTTTTGAAAAAAAAAACCACCCCTGAAGGGTAGGGGGGAAACAAACTCATTTACCTGATCAATTGTTGGTAAAACATCTCTGGTGCCTAAATTCTACCCAAATTCGTTGCACTCTTTTCGGCCACTTTCCGGAATCATCCGATGTCAAGTTTGGTCGAGTGACCTACCATTGGACTCGTCTTTTTGTTAGTGTGATATTTTCTTCTCAAACAAAGTCTATTTATACCTATTCAATTTTTCTTTTAACATTTCTTGCACATAGGAGTCGAGTTTGGTCCTTGTTAACGTATCTTTTTCAGGTCACGCATATTTTAGTGCATATTTTTTTTAAAAAAATTATCAGAGGATGTATCGATCTTGCGTAACTTTTTTTTTTTTTCTATGGTTTCAGGTACCTCTTGAACAGCCTTGCGCTGCATTAGACATGATAAAAAACATAACGCAGTCTCCTGCTCTTTTTTGAAGATACATATACTGCTCTACCGGCGACAAATTGTAAAAGATCATCACATAAAATACTGTCTATCTAAGAGCTTCATAAAGGAAGAAGAATAAATAAAATAAACATACTTATCCGCATGTAATGAACCTTTACAGACTTCTAAGTCTTCTATAAGATAAATTAAAATTTTCACTCTTATTTTTATCATTCCTCAACCATATAAAATATCTACTCAATATTCCTCGTTTGAAAACAAGCGACACTTTAGTACTTTTATTATTTAGAAGTAATAATAATAATATTGTTTGAATTGTGATAGTTTCGACCATAAGTCATGTCTATTAAATAAAGCCATTAGGAATCGAATTATCCCAATGATTAATCATAATAAGCAGAAAATAAATTGGCTTAATTGCAAAATATAGCCAGTTATCTTGTAGGCGGTGACAATATTAGCTACCATCTTTACGAATTGGCAATATTAACCAACAACTTTCTCAAACTATTTGATGGAGACGAGATCGCAATGGCATTTATGGAGAAATATGATCGTTTGCCATCCTTAGTTTAATTATTTATTTCCTATCTATTTTTATTATTATATTTTATTTCCTTTTCCTAGTTATGAATGGAATAATCCATGTTATATGGAATTTATTTATTAAGGTAAGTTAGGATTTTTAGGCTTGTTGGGACTCTATATATATTGTCTCTTCCTTCAAGAGAGGTAGACGTTTATGAATTAAAATAT